TGGGCGACAACCGATTTCAATGCAACTGGGGTCCAGCCTTGATCCTAAAGATGCTTGGAAATCGAACTTTTTTTTATATCGCGAATTCTGTCCTGACCAACTTTTGTATTTTTTGGTCCTTGCGAGTGTCGGAGATCTTTTGAATTCTTGTGCTGCTCGAACTTTTGTATTTTTGGAGCCAGGAAGTGTCGGAGATCTTTTGAATTGTTGTGTTGTTGCTTCGTCTTGATTCGTCTTGGGTTCGGAGTTACAGACAACAGCTTGCAGCCTTTGGGCTTGTGTGAGAAGTGATCTGCGGTTTTCTGAAAGCACAAGGCCAGGGCCATGTCTGAGTCGGCTGTGAGTGAGAACACAAAGTCCTTTCTCGAAGGGCTGGAGCCAGCAGGGGATGTGCTGCACGACACGTGGTGCGAGAGGATGACTGAGGCTATGGTGCAGATGAACACTCGCTACGGCGGGCCGGAGAGTTATCTTAGAGCCAGGTTTCAGACTCGTGCCGACTATGTCGAGTGGCTGGAGTACCTGGTGCACCTCGTCCCCACGGATTGCAACCACTTCGAGTTTGATGCTGAGACGGGCGGGGTTAGCATGGACGGACTGGGTCAGGCAGGCTAGCGACTCCATGACAATTATGTAGAATGCAGTGACACTGGCACAGACCCGGTTTTGCTGACTGACTGTTTCTGTGCAGGTGGTTCCCAAGATCTTCCACCTGGCATGCTTCAGCTATGCCAAAGAGCCTAGCATCAAAGGCCCCTCGGAGAATGACACTGTGCGGCTCATTTTCCAGGAGATCCTGAAAGACGGGTTTGTGACGGCTGGCGGCCCAATCCTGCTTCTGTTGTCTGACCTGGCTGTGGAAAGCCTGGACGAGGCGACTTGCCTTGCACAGAGTCAGCATGAAGTACCCTAACATACTTGAAGCACCGCTCCTGTCGAGGAGAAACTTGGCATTCCGTGGACAGTGGGTGTGGGCCGACCGATCGGTACTACAAGGGAAAGACACGAGTCATGACCTTGATGGCTCTGCTGTCCATGGCCAGAGACTCGTCAATGGACAACTACCACGATGTCCATCCGAAGCTCCTCGAAACCTTGAGATGCATGCATGGTCATGTTATCGCGGCAGCTTCGAAACGTGAGCAGATGCTTGGCAACTTCAAGTTGAGTGTGAGAGGGAGCATCAGAAAGGCTCCGAACATCATGAGCCTCGTCAGCACGGCAGTCAGCATCCATTCATGTCACACTGTCTGTTCTGTCGTTTGCTGCTGTGGCCCGATTATGCTGAGTACCTGGCTCACCACCATCCAGAAGCTGCGGGTTCACGAGCCAACCCTGGACGTTCAAGAGCTGGCCCCTTGCCTGCAACCCCGTCCGTATCGGCTGTTTCAGTTCTGATTCGCGAGAGGTTCTTGTCTGTGTCAACTTAGATCCGCGAGAACAACAACCGCAACTCCAAAGCTGAACAGTTGCGCTGGCGAGCAAAGCAACAGCCGTGAAGAATATCATGGAGCTCTTCGACCCCTCGGCAGTGGATGCCATCATGGACTACACAGTGGAAGTGGGCCACGAACACACCCCGTGGTCAGACGACAGCTTAAGCTCGAAGAAGACATTGCCAGGATTCCAGTGTATTGGCTGCAATTTCCCTGAATAGAAACTTCCAAAGCACACGGGTTGTTCTGCAAGGGTGCGCTGAACGCTCACTCTTGGATGGCGGTTCATATTCAGAGGCCACACCGGTATTCCGTGGGCTAGGCCCTGGAGACACATGTTCTGAAAAACGGACAGCACGGATGGGTCCAGATTCCTTGTGAGCATCGGCGGACTGGGACCTACGGATAGAATGGCGGAGGGACTCCTCAGGCTTAGGGCCCGAACTCCGAGGTGCGGGACTTTGAGCACGCCCGCTCTCCGAGAGATGTTTCTTGCAGAGAGGAGTGCCTTTATGCGCGCCATGAGTCTTGTTAAAACAGGAAAGCACACTGCACTTCCTCCCCTGACAAGACAACATATACAACTGGCTATGGTGGTTGCAAAGGCGAGCACCCTCCCTACCTCCAAGGTCCAAGATCAGACAGTTGCAGATCCTCAACCAAAAGACGGGTGGGTTCGCTTGCGGCCCTGTCTTCACAACCTTCGGGGGCGAGAGCACGGGGTTTCCCCTGTAGCTCCAACCCTACCAACACGGCCTCACAGGGATCGGGGATCACTTCGGCTTCCGATTCGGAATCCGGATCAAGAATCCGTGTGACACCGTGATCCTGAATTTGACGGGGCGCCTCAGTAGATCTTCGGCAAGAGCAGCATCGCCAACAATGCCCAAAACCACGTCGGAGAGCACGGAGGCCACGCCAGCAAAGGACCAGAACCCTCCAGCTGTTGAGTCTCCCATAAGCGCCTAAGTGGATGACCGCATCGGCGTCGATCGCGGCGTACGCCTTGCAGTGCAACTCCCCTTCCTGCTGGCAGTCGTCAGCTCGACATAGGTGGATCAGGGGAGCTCGCTCGACTTTCTCTCGAAGGCTGCGGGCGGTGACGCCAAGAACCCGCCCGGGTTTGATCCACAGACCATGCCTGTCCACTCGGGTGCGTTGGGACCAGTCGGGTTGCAGACGGACGGCTCCACTATCAAAGCGAAGAACCAGATCATGTGGTCTCCGTCAAGCCTCTCTGCCCCTCACTTGTCTTTGGTAGTACTCGGTGTCCACAGGGGCGGAACCGCCAGGCCCAACCAAAGAGATCGAGGCATAAGCCTGGGGAGTTGGTGTTTCCGGTAGACGCTGAAGAGCAGGATCGACTCCAGCTCCCAGAAGAGTACGGCCTCGGCGGCAGCAGCAATAACCACAGCATAGGCACCTCTCACAAGTTTTGAGAGACCAGGCCAGTGCTGTGATCAGGAGAGTGACGAGCACGACCAGGGCGGTCCACCCAGCTGCTGGCCAATATTGGCCAAAGCAGAGTACCCCCGCTTTGTCGATGAAGTAGAGAGCCCAACCCCCGTCGGTTCCCAAGGATCCGCGGTGTTCTGGGGTCGAGAAGACTGATGCGTTAGCCCATCCGAAGAGCACATTGAAGCTCCACTCGCTCCACCACACTGACATAGTTCCGGTTGGTGTTTGCCTTGAGGGCGGTTCGCCGGAGGACGGACCGTCGGAGGGCGAGGTGCTCGTCTCAGTAAAGTTCCCCGGGGACGCTGGCCACCATGGCAACCAACTCTGAACGAGAGTCGCGGCCACCAAGCAGGCGACCACGGAGCGAGCCATTATGGCAATGTCCCTGATACCAAACACGAACTGAACCGAAAAGTCTTGAGACAACACCGGCTCATTCGCTAGCAGAACTCTATGTTATCGCTAACGAGCAATACTCTTTGTTCTTTGTCTCTGTCTTCTTGCGGCGTTTCTTCTGTTGCTCGTTGGCCACTACTTGGAGTTCTGTGCGGAACTCCAACTCGTGTTAATCTGCAGGATTTGCGTCGTAACTGAAAATCCCATTCTTCGTCACACTAGGCGTGTCCGAATAAACCTCGTTCCGAACCTCAGGCCTGCAATTGTCATACCGATCTCCAGCCCAAAACGTCTGCGGGCCAGCCCAACTTGCGTTGCACGCTGCTCTGCTGACTTTGTTTCGATCTTGCGAGTCGGAGACTTCATCACACTTCTCAAACCAACCAAAACCACCTTGCGATAGGAGGGGCACGGCTCCGCTACCAGTTAGCGTTCCACAGCGCTTCGGACTCTACCTTGTGTGCCTCTAGCTCAAGGGCCCTTCAGGAGGTAGCGACGATGGTAAAATGTATCCGCGTTCCTTCACAAAACCGTCACTAACACTACACATGAGCCGGCACGCACTCAAGCTATGCATGCAAGAACTGAGGTGATATTCACAAGGTTGGAGCATGCGAATGAATGATTGGGCAGTCCAGGAACTGTATAGGAAACATGCTAGGGCTAGGGTTCATGATGAGATTCCGACCAAGGTTTCAAGAATACGGAGGGCCTGGATCGTCAGGAATTGCAGATAATTCTCGTATCTTTCATCTCCAGTCAAGAGTACATTCGCGATTATCGTAAGAATGTGAAGACTCAAGAGATGCGGGAGCCCATACCAAAGGTCAGATCACCATTCTAGCAACAATGGTATCAACAAGCATCATATGGGAGCTGACTGTATGAACATTGCTACTCTTGAGAATTTGTTGGCTTCAAGACCCAAGCCGATATGACTTGTATGGATCTGTATATGACAATTCGCAGGCACACTAGGATCTAAACTGAAATTGCTATAGGGATTGCAGCATACGCATAGACAGTGTGAAGTCGTGCAGGAACATTCTTATCCGGATCGGAGCACTGAACATGTCTAGGCCTAGATGGCTAAGGAATCATTGTGCGTTCATCCAAGGACTTCAACAGTTGCAGTGCCTCATTAGTCGGGCTTGCACTTCATCAAAAACAGAGAAAAGTAGAATGAGCCGCCCGCAGCTGAATCTTGAAAGTGGATAGAGGCTAAAGGTAGGAACAGAACAGAGCTAAGTTCCTGTGGGCATCATTTGCGGTCGGCTTGTTGCAATACCAACGCGCAGGGTAATTACAGTGTACAGATGCAGTAGTCCGGCCTTGCATCATTTGACAAGCTTGGCCTGTAACAGCATTTCAACTACAAGTATTCGAAGCAGTGCCTGCAGTGCTTGACATATGTTCATATGTATAAAATTGCACATGTGTGTATGCAATTTGTCGGGGGACGACAAAAGATGGTACAGCAAATCTCATCTTCCGAGTTTATCGACCTTACTATCAGTAAAATGGCGGGAGTAGCATAGATGTGGAGAGCTCATCACCAAACTACGAGGGTGACTGAAGAGAGGGAGCGAATGAAGAGGGGAGCGAGAAGCACTGGGAGCACTCTGGGCCAAAGTGTAGGACGGTGGCGTCACCAGGTCTCGTACCATGCGAAAAGCTGCAGTGTACCGTGATGCTCTGCTCTCCCGGCACCTGCCGGGCATCGATTCTGGAGGTCGCGTGACCTCCGTCCTCATTGCCTCAGGATGTGTGGAGGGGTGTGTGGAGGGGCGCGTGCTGTAGCGACGAGGTCAATTTCAGTGGAGAGCTATCTAAGCTGCGCTAGCGCATGGCAATCGCCGTCAGCGATCTGGAGCGAGCTTGCGACTCGATCGGGGCTTTGTCGTGGCATTGCAGTATATCGCAAGTATAGACCGTGTCTAATAGAGTTTCAGCTTCGACGAGCACAAAGGACACTCCTGGGCTCTCGGACCGATACGGCCTCGAGGTCTCCGACTTGCGAAATCCTCGCACGAAACTTCGCTTCAGTGGTTGTTTCGTTCTTGAAAGATCGGGGAATGTCCCGCACCTGTCCCAAGAGCTGCGCTCTTGCAGTTGCGTAAAGGAAAGTGAGGTGTGGCTTTCCGAAGCACACATGTTGAAGGCTTCCCTGCAGTCTAGTGCCATGTGCCAACCCCTCCGCCCTAAGATCGAGAAGGATGTCGGCACCTGCGGCCAGCCGGGTCCGGAGGAATTGAACCATCAAGAACTTTCTATCACGGGCTGTCTCGTTCTAGACTCGCCGAAACCGATAGGAGCGCAGACATCTGGCGAGACTGTCGGCATGTGCGGAATTAATGATTCCACAAAGGTTGGGCCCGAATTTGAAGGATCCTCCATCCAAGGGCCACGTGCTGAGCGTGCAGGTCCTACATTCTGGTATTCCGGTGCAATAACTCACCCCTTAGACGTGTTGAGAGGCAACAGGCGCGAACAGGCACATCACCCCGCGGACAGAAAACGTTACGAAACGCACACCATGTCACCCTGTGACAAAAGTTACCACCATGCAGTAATCCAAGCGAAACATCAGGAGATCGACATGTTTGTGCCGCGATGTGCCTCCGTGTTGGAAACAACTGGGGAAGGCGCTGTGGATTCGCGGGAAAGCTGAAAAGCTGGAATGTTGGTTCTAACCCGGGGGGTTTAAAATCAATTCGTGGGACCAATCTGAGCAATACGGACAAAAGACGAAGTAATATGTGTGGTTGGATTGGACAACAAGTCTGTGGTGTGCACGAGTTCTTCTCTACCGTTCCATAGTGCGTGCATTGGCGAAGTCGCTGCTTCTACACTAACGGGATGTGAAACGACGCCATTGCGCATCCCAATTTCTTTCTGGAGGGTACCGGGGATACCGAAGCTGCCGCCAGCACATCCCATGTCATCCAAACCAAACACTGGACGCGCCCTGTTTCCACCGCCAAGCTGGAGCGTCTGTGTGGAGGACAAGATTCCTGAACAGCATCATCGCAGTCGATGCAAAACACCCATGCAAACCTGTCAACACTGGAATAGCTGGAATTTTGTACTTCGGCATGTCGAGCTAACGCACTGACAATGTGTACGCCACGCAAACCAGCGCACACGTTCGCACGCGAACGAGCGGACCCGCGCAAGCATTCCTCGCGCACATGTACCGCGATGTGCAGATGGCAAGGTACCATGAGTCCAAGTAGAGACTGCACAAGCTTCAGGGCAATACACACACACACACACACACATCAGCCTATCTACCAACACACAAGACTGCGGAATGGAGCTTTGGGGTTGCGGCCATCGGCCGAGGAGACACCACGGCATCCGAAGACTCCGATGGCCTCAGGCAAGCTCTCGGAATGCCAAAGAAAAATCCTGCCGCCGAAGCATGCACCTGCACTGCGGTACGGGACTGGGCGGCGGACGCCCCGAGCCGCTGTCCCGGCCCCAAGATCTGCCGCAAGCGCAAGGGCGCAGGGTACGGAGGGTATGTGGGATGGCTGGGATGGAGGAAAATCACGAAAACATTGCATTGGCGAGCAGATCCCCAGCGCCCCTTCCCTGAGCTCACCGAACTGCCGCCGCTGAAGACGTAGCGGCCGCGAACGGCAGCTCGGGGCAGTGCCACTGGAGGCTCTTCCTGCAGTCTGAAAGGTCGAGCCTCAACGGTTGAGTTGCGGAGCAAGGCCACAGCAGCTCCTGTGCAACTGTCGCACCTGACTGACATCTCGCCATTTGCCTCAGTTCTCTGGTGGGCAAAGACTAGCGAATGCAGTCGAGGTTTTCTAGCCATCATGTGCACTTTCATGTGAAGGCAAGCTCCTCGAACAGCCGTTGCACGTGCTCTTTGCTTCGAACCCTGCTTCTGCGGGTGCTCCAAACGTTTTGCAACACAAGCTGGCAGCTTTTAGCTAAGGTCCGTGCACCTTCGAACTGTTTTGGCCACCTCAGAGCCCCTCCGTGTCGGGAGCCAAGCAATTGCATCCAAGCAAGCATCAACCGGGCTATGATCCTGCTTGTCTCACCCTTAAAACCTCGCTGACATACTCTCCCTCCCTCAGTCTTCTCTCCATTCTGTATATGCGCAGCTTCCGCTGTGCCAGCTTGAGTGCGGCACTGCCGGTAGCCTCCTGGCATGTTGCACATTGTGGCCGCATTTTGGGTCTCATGCGTGGCCTTCTCCGCCTTGCCACACACCTGACATCCTCTAAACGGCTCCAGTATAAGAAAGAGATCTCCTCAAGGCTCAGAGGCTCAGAGAGACTCAACCTGACTCAAAATTCGCCAGGTCCAGCCTGGTCCTGTGTCTGCGTGCATGTTCGGGCCTCTGCGGGAGGACACGCGAAAGAAGAGCTCAGAGCTCGCTGCTGCAATTTTCCCCATTTTCAGTCCAAAGCCGTGTTTGGACTTAGGCTAAGATCCACATCTCACAAAACACCTTGTTGCCTGAAGCTGCAAGCCGACATGCCGAGAACTCAGTAATCTGCATGCTGAAGTTTGCACTGCAAAATCACTGCAACAAGATGCCCATCTCGGTGTCAGGTTCGACAGGCAGAGTGCTTTCGAAAACCAACACTAACATCGTGGCACTGCTGCCACTAACGGCCTGCAAATTGCACGACGAATAGCACAGCAATCATAGTGGTAGCCGTACTGTAGCGGTGATGGCAGGGGTGGTGGTACTCGTGGTATGCAGTGGCAGTGGCAGTGGAGGAGTACTCTGGGACTGGACTTTGATTGCCACTCCAGGAGTACTATAGGACTAGTGGTACTAGTACCATTAGTAGTAGTAGTAGTAGTAGTAGTAGTAGTAGTAGTAGTAGTAGTAGTACTACTACTACCACTACTACTGCTGCTACTACTACTACTACTACACTAACTACTAACTACTAACTACTTCAAACTTAAACTACTACCACTACTACTACTACTACTACTACTACTACTACTACTACTACTACTACTACTACTATTACTACTACTACTACTACTACTACTACTACTATTACTACTACTACTACTACTACTACTACTACTACTACTACTACTACTACTACTACTGCTACTGCTACTGCTACTGCTACCACTAACACTGACTACTAACTACTAACTAAGTAACTACTACTATTACTACTACTACTACTACTCCTACAACTACTACTCCTACTACTACTACTACTACTCCTACTACTACTACTACTACTACTACTACTACTACTACTACTCCTGCTGCTGCTGCTGCTGTTGTTACGGCTATTAATATTTCAGAAAGGGAAACCTCGTTGGCCCGCAAGTACTGGTCATGAAGAGTAGATGCTGGTACGATTCCTGGTCTTGCTAGTGCGCAGACATATTTCACAAATACTTTTGATGCAAGATCGGCTGCTAACAAGCTAGTTCCCACTTCGCATGAAACTGGATCTCACCTGTGGTTTCACCAATATTCACTGAGCCTGCTACTAAACTAACTAACATTTAATCATGAGAAATGATTGATAACCAACCATTTTCAGCCAATACAGTCTTCCGCCTGCAATAGACTGACATGTTCAGGACGTAACCGCCAAGTACTAACTCATTTTGGGACGTTGATCATCTTGGATTGATTCAGCAGGAGTGAAGGGTAACGAAAAATGCGCATCATCTACAAATCTGGGCCTGAGACATACATAACATGTTAAACGGTTAAATATAGGACCTCAAGCTTACGTATTGAGCCAATTTCAATTTCTGTTGTGGAATAGTGAATAGTGTTAAGGACTTGGCTGTCGGACTAGCTGTCACAGAAACGGTGCTTGACTTGTTTCAGCTTGGATGCTGTGCCCGTGCCGCTTCTGATTCCCACCAGTACTCAGTGCTCCTTCTACAACTGCCCCTCTCTTCTACAGTGCAACAACTGGTTTCGGGGATCATGAACTAAGTCAGCTCATTGTTGGACCTGAAACTTCAAGTCACGCTTTCAAGCAGCATGAAGGAAAGTTCCGTGAGCGGGCCTCCACACCACGACGGACATGACGCAAGAGGTCCTGTCAGGATTCAGCCGGGAGCTGGATTTTTGGCTTCATTTTCAGGGAACTACGGCCTACGAGGATCTGCTGACATCGAGGTTTGCTCTCCCACGTCGTCAAGCTCGCCCATTCATGAGCGTCGCTAATACCGCGTGCACATGGCCAAGTTTTCTATGAACGAAGATGGTCGCTGGGGAATGCTCCCCACTCAATCCCGTTTGTCGGTACGCTGGCAACTTATCGTCACTCCCGTGCTGGTGTTAAACATCGTTCGTAGCATGAGTTTTGAGTTAAGTTCCATGTTGTAGCACGGTTGCGTTGAGGGTGTACTTCATGCTGAACTCTGTGAATCCAAGCCAGGCAGAAGACACAAATGCTCACAAATTCATTAGCCTGTGGTGGAACAACTTTAGTCAAACATGCTGGACATGCGGACATTCTATTTGCGGAGTGTTGCTGCAGCTACTCTCAGATTGATTTTGGCTGTATGTGCTACCACTGTTACTACTCCGACGACAACAATGTTATGACTTGAAGGGTTCCTATTATGCTTAACACTAGCCCCCTTTCCGGTGCACGCCTGATGGCTGGGAGCTGGTGCGGGAATCAAGCAAACATGTCCGGGGGGCCTCGTTATGCTTAACACTGTCCCCCTCCTAGCGCTTTGGACCCAGATCCTAAAAACTTATGTTAAGCATAATAGGCCCCCTTCAAGTTATGACGATGCTGACGACGGCTCGTGCACATACTCGTACTAGTACTGCTACTGCTACTACTGCTGCTTCTGCTACTTCTCATTCCAGTACTACCACCCAGTTTTTCGTACTGCTACTATTTTTACTCCTAGTAATGTCATCATTCTTACTCCTATGAATACATAACGACAGGTAAGAGTGTTACTTTTTTTGCTGTCGTTGCTATTTTTGCTGTCGTTGCGGAGGGGGGGTTTGCTGTCGTCCCTGGGTGCGCGTTTTTTTGTTCGCTCTGTTGGCGGGGGCGTGTTTGTTCTTTTGCTGTCGTTGCACGCCCCATATACCAAACAAATGTTAGCAGTACGTCATTTTGGGTTACGTGCCGCATGCTGTGTGACGCTCCGTACGGGGCGAGAGACCCGGCAGAGAGCGCTGACATTTCAAAATCATCGCCGCCGGTCCTCCATGTCATCCGGGTCTGCTGCCTGCAACTACCCCAAATCGTACAAAAGGCAAACTCTTCCGAACCCTTACATGCACTTGAGTGCACTACCCAAATGTTCCGAGAGCTCATACCTCAAGGACCTAAAATTTCCGACAGGTCTTTCAACAACGTGCGCAGGAACAGTCCTCATGTCACATCATATCAACAAAGCTTCTCGCCATAACGAACCACTTAGCGAGTGTCTTTGCAACACCGCTCAGAGCAGGACAGGGCGCATGGCGCTTCGTGGCCTTGGACAATGTGAGGTTTGTGGTGGCGAGCTGTGGGCATGTTTGTAGGGTCTCTTCAGGATTGAAAGCTTGATGGCGCTGTCCAAAAGGAAACTGCTATGGAAAAGGCACCAACAGGAACTCCACGTGCAAACTATGGAGACTTTTTGGTCCCGATGCCCGACAATCGCCGGAAACCAGCAGACCTCGTAGTCTAGGGTTCTGAACCTCTGCAGCGCTTCGGCATAAAACCGCTGGGTTGTGGTCTACAGACACCACTGAGCTCGGACATCCCAACGTACAAAAAAACTTGACGGTGAGTACTTGCTGTGCGCTGAGCTCTTGGCCTTGGGGCACCGGCCACAGGCCTAATGCAAAGAGGTTCGGGTGGTGGAGGATGACCGGATGCAAAATGGACCGGGTGAGCGCTAATTCTGAAGGCTTCAATGTTCTGAACGGAAGATCACATCACAACTGGTGTCGGTACGATGTGGGAGAAGAGTACTGCTCCTACTACTGCTACGACTAGTACTAGTAGTAGTAGTAATAGTAGTAGTAGTAGTAGTAGTAGTAGTAGTAGTAGTAGTAGTAGTAGTAGTAGTAGTAGTAGTAGTACTTGCTACTGCTACGGCTACTACTACTACTACTACTACTCCTACTGCTGCTGCTGCTACTACTACTACTACTACTGCAATTCTACTGCTACTACCACCACCACAACTACCAGCACTACCACGATTAACTACTACCACCACTACCACTACTATCACTGCTTCTGCTACTGCCGCTGCTACTACCACTGCTGCTACTGCTACTAGCTTGCGTACAGCAGCAGCTTTGCCAACATTGCCTGGCATAAGCCTTTTCTACCAGTTGGGGGCTGTTCTGGGAATCGCCGAAGATGCAGTGGGTGCGCTGAGGTTCCAAGGACCGAGGTCCTTGTCGTTGGACGGTGGCGGTTTTGCAGCACCGCAGCCTAGAACGCCTTTGAGTACTGCCGACTCGGAGAAGCGCAACGCCGAACAGCTTCCATGCACTCAACTTGTGCCGCACGAATGCCATCGGCGACCCGGCCCGACAGCCCGGCGGCGCATCTCCTGGATGATAGGCACAAGCACGGAATCCTGCCCAGAGTGGCAGTGTGATTGGAGAACGCCATGTCGAAGTGCTGCGGCTCGCCACATTGCCTCAAGGCTTGGACTCCACGACTCTTGAATCGCATTTTCAGCCTGTGGGCGGGCACGACCCGTGGAGTCCATGCTGCTCGCCGCACCTTTGTACCGGTAGTAGACCGACAAAGGATCGGCACTTGGCTGCTGCAGCAGCTTGCTGGTGCCTGCCCCCCTTGCATGGAGGACATGGTCCAGCGGGAGCATGCGCAGGATCGGGCGGCTGAGCGGAAGATTAATATGAGGATGAAAAGTGCGGCGACTCCGATTTGGACAAACACTTGGCTTGGAGTATTTCCAGGCCGTGTGTCTCGTGGACGGCAAAAAGCACCGTCTTTTCGCCGTATCAGCCCTCAAAGGTACCCGCCGCCGTCATAGGTAGGCATCGCCGATGCTTCGACGCAGCCGTGAAGGAGGCCAAACACCATGGGGACTATGAGGATAAACCCTCTGTGGTCCTCGACCGGGTGACAGCAGCCTTGCACGCCTCATTCTACGAGTCGGGCAAGCGACAGCCAAGAAAGAGGGCAAAGATGGCCTATAGAGAAGCGGAACACAATCGTTCCAGGAATTCCAGCCGAGCTGGCTAGAAACCCTTACCGAGCTTATGCTGCAGGGCTCTATATATGCCAGAAGGACTTACTTCACGACTATTTTCACAAGGTAAGGTCCTTCCTCTGTGACAGACGATTTTGGCCCTTGAGGCCATCCCCCGGCGTCAAGCAGGAGTTCCAGCATTGGAGAATTGGTGTGAAGCCGCGCTCGTGGCACGTGAGATCACCCTCCGTAAAGATGCATGTTAGGCCCTGCAGGCTCACCACACATCACCACACCAATGCCGAGGCCGATCCTTCGACTGTTTTCCAAAAAGGAGCGGATGCTATGCAGGTGTTGGTGTCGCTGCCGAGCAGCAGCGCCGTTTAGCAGTGCAAACACTGCAGCAATCCCCGAGAAAGGTCGTTGAGACACGCTTGGCCGCACGGGAGCTGCGTGAAACTTGCGCACCTCGGCGGGTATGAAAGATGGTTCACACCGAGCCCGTCACCACAAGCTGGCCGTGCAGGATCTTTATGCGATTGGAGGAAGCAACAATGCCATCAAGGAAGGAAGGGCGCAGGCACGCGCGCCGGTGTTCTTAACAGCCATGCCGCACTTCGCCCAAGAACGTTGTACCTATGTTGATGAGTTAATACATGCTCGTTTGCCATTTCGATTTCAAGATCCAACACGCCGCAGGACTTCATAGACACCCCAGTTGCGAATTGCGAAAGTCGCATCCGCTGCGCCGGTGCCGGGCTACCCGGCCCAAACCAAGATTTCCGGTGCTGGTGTCGATTGGGTTACTCTGATCGCTACAAGCGGGGCAGCGCAAGCGCCCTGTTCTTCGCGAGATCGGCGACTTTTTGACAAAGCCTGGCTTTCAGACAGCCTTGGAATTAGAAATCAGAAAGGAAAGGTCCTAGTGGACGGGTCGTTTTCCGGGTCGAGTCGCCTTTGGCAAGGTGACTCGAGGCGAATCAGTCCGCGCTGGCGCCGGTCGCTCGGGTCGGTGAGCCGAAACGAGTGAAGATCGTTCGAGACATGCGAGATTTGATGCGGACGAGAGGCACTGTGGTATAGCTCACAACAGAGGACCACTGACGTGGCTGCGGGAGTTTTTAAGCGGTGTTCGAGGGTCACGCCCGTTGGGTTCGCAGGTCCAAGCGAGGCGGTCTGACTGAGTTTCAGGGAAGGGTTGGCCTCGCCTGGAGTGACATTGAACTGGTGATGTCCAGAATTCTCCGAAACCACAAGGACCAAGATCTCGCCTTGACTCGGCCACACCGTAAGCAGGATTCCCTTTACAGGAGGCACCTGAAACGCTTCGCCCAGATGAGGCCCGAGTCGAGGTCCACAGAAGCATATAAGGCGCTAGCAGAATTCCGTGAGCTTCCAAAGACATGCCTAGATCAGGACACCGATCATGCCAGGTCACACCAGAAAAAACAAAAAGCAAGAACGCAGGACCACGCGCTCGCGCAAACGTTGTGAACATCGTCCCGCGTCAGAGTGACCAGGGCTGTTGATTGCCATGGGCCGGTTGGCCGGTGCGCTGGTGGAGTGCGCTCCTAAGTCGCCATCAGAGAACACGCACTTCCTCAAACAACGAGTTTTTGAACTCGGGGCCAACATCGTGCCGCCACATCACGGGCACGGCGTGAGGCTGCGGAGCTGAAAGTTTAAACCCTTAAACCAGTGTCCTTCTTACAACAACGGCGCGAGCTTGGAATCTTTTCTCACTCTGTGCTCCGCTGTCGGGCTTTGCTTGAGCCTACGTTTGACCTGCGGTGAAACACTGGATTCCTGTATGTAAACGGGCATGAGGGAAAATTGAACTATCTGTTACGCCCTCATCACGTACACAGCTTTGTCGTGTAACGTGATCCTTGTGAAACTTTTCCTACTTCTACCACTGTTTTCGCATGCTCCTGTGAGCTTGATCTTCTCTTCTCGCACGCTTCTTTGAGCACTTGTTGAACATCTTTATCCTTTTCTTCCTTTGGTCTTCATCCTCAATCTTCAGATGTCCTATAGCAGATTTGCGAATTTCCACTCCACACACGATTGGCATGGACTCACTCAGAATCTAAATGCGCACTCACTTTTTCTTCACGTCGCGTTTCGCGATGTAGGTCCATTCTTGCTCTTCGGCAATCTGGAAACTTGGCTTGCCTTCTCGGCTTTTGGACTTCTTTCACCAGTCCTTTCTTGGCTTTTCAGCCTTGTCATTGACTTTTAAACAATCGTTGTGCTCGTAGTGCTTTGACGTTGCCGTGGGACTTTCGTCCTCGTGGCTTTTGCTTTGGCGTTGCCGTGGGACCTTTACGTCCTCGTGGATTTTCCACTCTTCTCACAAGCTTCTCCTTAAAGCTTCCGCTGTGAAACGTTTTGCCTTGGGCGCTTTCGCCCTCACGCTTGCTGCTGGGCGATTTCCGCCCTCACGGTCTTTTGCTTTCGCTTTAAACCGCAATTACATATCTCCAGGTCCCAAGGGCCCTTGGGTCCTTGCGTCTGTGTTGTCTTGTGTTCCTGGAGCCATTGTAGCACTTACAGCTTGGACTCGACGTCTGAGTCTCGACCTGTCTTCATCGCTATTGTCGCTTCGTGATCTGAACCTCAATCCATCACTTGTGTGCTCTCGCTGACGAAGTCTTGACCTTTCTTCGATCAACATATCAAGACCTTGATCTTCTTCTCCTTGCTCTTCCTGCATGTCTTGAATCAATGCTGGAGTTAACTCTTCAGCTCTCTGCTGGGATCCAGCAACGAACGCTTCGAACGTTAAACGTGCTGTTCCGTCCAGCTCACGTTGACCCATGACTTCTAGTGTATTCCTTCTTTCTGCGAAAGTCATATTGTTTCATTCTTCTTCTGTAAGTTCTTCTGGTCTGTTGTTGCTGTTGGTCACTTTGTCTTCTGATTGCTGAGCATCTTCTGCGCTTTCGTCAACATCATACCACTCTCGCCAGGTGGCCTCCGCGTGATCGCGGATACATTCCACACAACTGTGGGTTGTGTGATTTCTTTTGTTGCGGGCGCAACGACTCTCGCCGCACCAGTCGCACGTTGCAGTGCATACTTCTGCATTCTGCTGTCTTGACGAGCTTGAAGGTCTTTCACCGCGGCTTTCTCTGTCCTCTGGGTGACACACCCAGCATGACCTGCATCCTTTATCTCTTGCAGTCTCGATAGACATTTCTTGTGTAGCCGGCGGTGGGCTCCACCACTTGCAAGACCGTTTATGATATACGTGTCTTGTTGGGTAAACGTAGACTGGCTCACCAGTCCTCTGGACTTTC